GCTCCTGCCCTCTCCTCCTGCCCTCTCCTCCTCCTCCTCCTCCTCCTCCTCCTCCTCCTCCTCCTCTAATTACCCCACTCCCTTGCTTTGCCTCGATCGGGCTGGACGGAGGGGAGGGATACTTCGGTAGCAAATCATGGGAGCTTGGTATATCCTCATAATTTCCGTTTTTAGCGTCGATCAGCGTCGATGAGCGTCTGGAGTCGATGGGATAGCGCCGATTTCGCGTCCATTAGTGTCGGTATAGCGTCGATTAGCGTCGATTTAGCGTCGATTCGCAAGAGCCGACAAAATGGTATGGGAGGCTCCCATGAGTTGCCACCGAAGGATTGGGAGAGGGTGGGTACGAAATCTACTGCACGCAGCTGGTTTCGGCCCCGCCGAGGGGCCCATCCCTCGATGTGTGGGCGCCTCCCGGTGCCAGGAGCCGCCAGGAGCTCCACCTGCGTGAGCGGATTCTCTACCCTACCCTTGGGCTGTCCTACCCTCTCGCCCCCCCCTTGTCCTCAGGGCGCGTGTCAGCCGAGCGCGTGTCTGCGGCAAGCAGGCCCGCGTCGCGCCGACGCGGCGGCGTCTCCAGCGCCGGCGAACATACCAGATCCGTGTCGTGTCGTGAAGGAAATCGCGGGGGACGAAGTTGTTGCAATTTCGGGCACTCACTAGGGGCCCTCGCCAGGCCCCAAGACCGTGAGCAGAACGACTCAGGAAGCAGAGCTGGTCCCCGGGGAGGTCAGACAGGTGGTGTCTCACGCCACGAGCAAGAGGCATCGACAGCGTTGGGTGTGTGTGGGGCGCGGGCGTGCCGGGTGGGCCGCTGCCAGTGGCCCTGGGATTCGCCCACGTGACTGTTTTCTCAGTCGTGGTTTTGCTGATTGGCGCGGGCCCTCGCACCCCCTCCCCCCCCCCCTTTTCTGGGCCCTCCTAGAACCGACTCGTTTCGAGGGCAATTCGTCTCAGCCGCCATCTGGTTTCCTGCAGGTCTCACTCGGGAGGAAAGGGCGATGACGGTCCTGCGGCAGGGTTGCCTGCCGACTCCCCGGCACGAGTCGGACAATGATCAGGTGTGTGCGTTGTCTCCCTTTCGCCTCTTCCTCCCTCCCCAAAATAGCGCTGGAACAAAAACAAATCTAGGGCCTCCTAGATGGGGTCCGAGTCGATGGGGTCGGAGGATCGCGCCGCCTCGCCGATGCATCGACGATGCGGCTCGATGTGCAGCCCGATTTGCTTCACGGCGAAGCCGCCGATGCATCGCCGACGTCGACGATGCATCGCCGATACATCTGCGATGCATTGGCGATGCGGCGCGATCCTTCGACCCCATCTACTTGGACCCCATCTGAGGAGGCCTCTACCCAAGGAGTAGATCTTGGCTGTTGTTGGCGCCTGTTTCCAGCAGGTGTGGCCTCCCCCATAGGACGCACTGTTGCAAACAGTCGCACTAAGCAGAGGTTCAGAGCCATCCCCTCCCCTTTCGCCCAGTGTCGACACGCTGAATAAGAAAACGTTCACCAACGCACTGCGGAAGTCCGTAATCGTTCAAGGCTGAGCGATCCACGCGGTGTCAGGAACCAGCGCGCAGGTCTTCCCGGTAACCGCCTGCCGTCCCTGGTCGGTGTTCGAGGGACGGGTGTCAATGCAAACGGGGGTCAGCCAGGGCGCTGGATCTTGCAGGATCCTGCAGAACCAGGGCTTCACCGATCCGGGTCAGGGCGCGGGATCATTCAGGACCTGCAGGAGTTTGCGAAAGAGTTGATAAGGAATTGGAAGGGAATGTTCAACATGGCCACTTTTGTTTGTATCGGGGTCGATCATCTCGCAGCCACTTGCAGGATCCTGCAGAGCCCGACAGATTCGGGTCTGGATCTACATGGGTTAGTAGATCCCCGACCTGGCTCAGTCTGCTGGCAGCACTCAGCTTGTGCCGGTCCTCGTCACGCTTCATCCGTCGATCTGAAGGGCTGCGGTGGGCAAGCACACGGTGGCGTTCACACGCGTTCTGAGGATCGTCGACCCCAGCGCTTAGCGCTTTCGCGCGCGCGCGCGCTCGCCGCCCTGTTCGCGGCAGCCTCTTGCGAGGGCGGTGCACCGGTTTCTGTGGCACAGTCCCTGCCCCGTGCAGCACGCGCGCCCGAGGAGAAAGGGCCTCCTCGTCAGAGGGGGGGAGGGGAGGAGGAGAGAAGATGGAGGGAGGAGGGAGGAGAGAAGATGGAGGGGAGGAGGGAGGAGAGAAGGGGAGGAGGGGAGGAGGGAGGAGGGAGGAGAAAAGATGGTTGGAGGGGAGGAGGAGGGGAGGGAGGAGAGAAGATGGAGGGGCAACAAGAAGGGGGAGAGGGACAGGGAGGACGTGGAGAAGAGTGAGGGCAGCAGCGAGGCGGGGAGGCAGGGGGGAGAAAAAAGGGAGCGGGGAGAGGGGGGAGAGGGAGGAAGGGAAGAAGTGAGGGACGGACGAATGGGGGCAGGCGAGTGCAGAGAGGGGAGATGGAAGGCAGCAGAGTTTACATGTCTCCTCTGTCATCCCTACTCCAGCCCGTCGCCTCGATTTGTCAGCCTCCCTGGCAGTTCCTTGCTCAGAGCCCTACAACTTGCGTGTGGTATCGAGCCAGGCAGTTGGAATTCTATTGCCAGGGACGAGGGCACAAGGAGAGGGGAGCCCGTATGGTGGCAATAACAATCCATGCCTCCAAAGGGCAATGCACAAAAGACGGTGCGACGATATTTGTTTCGAGTGCTGGGCTGCAGCGGGTGGTATCATTCACTGCGACAATCAAGAGCAAAACCTGGTACTCTGCCATCCACTTCTTCTTTTCGCGCCAGGGCCAGGCGGGAGGACCAACACTTTTGGCAAGGAAGATCCGAGTCGTGTCAGTTGCGGGTAATGGCGGCTGCGGGTGGCTCGCGGAGCGAGGACGGGTTGGCATCCACCACACACGAGTACCCGAGCACACGCCGCCCACATTCTTTTCTGCAGTTCCAGACTTGCACGCTGGTGCATTCTGTCGGCGCCAATCGTGGCACAAGACATCTGCTTCGGGATCCAAAAAGGGTCTTTCCCGCGTCAGGTGTTCGAGTCCCCTCAGGCGATGCCTGGGAGGCCCGAGTACTGAACTGCCTCAATGTGGCCCTGGGGGGCACTTCCACGGCTGTTTGGTCACAGTGCTAGGGTGGCTTTGGTGGCGCTCGAGCAACTCCCTTGGAGCCCAGTGCTGACCTGACCGTTCTGCTATCTGCTTTACAGTTTCGGCTCCACGGAAGCGCTCAACCCCGACCTCAGGCCAGGGCTGCTCTCTCAATGCTTCCCCCCTTCTTTCTAGGCTCCCTAGATGGAGTCCGAGCAGAGGGGGTTGGAGGATCGCGCCGCATCGCCGATGTATCGCCGATGTAACCGATGTATTTCCGATGCGGCGCGATCCTCCGACCCCATCTACTCCGACCCCATCAATGAGGCCTTTACTCCAATCCTTCTAGATACCTTTTCCTGGCGACAACTCAAGCCTGTATTGTTTGCGACTTCGCTACGGACTGGAACTACCAGCCCAACTCCAATTCCAAATGATCTCTTTCAAATGCTATGGGATTTGATTCTGAAGTCTTCGGTTGGGTTGGACATGGAGTGGCCTAGGGGCCTGTAAGCGCCCAGCGAAAACAAAGAAGCTAAACGGCTGCAGAAATGGTAATAATGGTGAACCCGCCGAAATGGGAATTGCATCATCTCGGCACCGAGTGTCGTGGCCTTCTCGTTGCACCTGCAATGGGCGCAGCGGCAAACCGGGGGCGGAGCCCGTCCCGGGCTCCGCCTACAAAGTGTGGAGGGAGGGCTATTCCAACGTCGTTGATGATTCTCGGGTTTATACTGGTCCTCCTTCTCCTCCTCCTCCTCCTCCTCCTCCTCCTCCTCCTCCTCCTGGTCCACCTCGTCCCCCTCCTCCTCCTCCTCCTCCTCCTCCTCCTCCTCCTCCTCCTCCTGGTCCACCTCGTCCCCTTCCTCCTCCTCCTCCTCCTCCTCCGCAGTTGTCGGCGGAAGGCGAGGTCGAAGGCAGGCTGTTCGGACCCGTCCCCACCCCTCTGTTGGCTTCCCCCCAAGCTGGAGAATTTCAGAGTTTAGCTATGGCATCCCTACAACTGGTTGGCCCTAGCTTTATATACTCTGATTGCCTTAATGTGGTTAAGCTGAGCCAGCAGCCTCAGGAGCAGCAGCTTAGCTACTATAGGCCCTATGCAGGAATGTTGCAGTTTTACCACCAAGGGTCCAAGTGGGTTAGTGGTGCCTGGAAGGTCAAAACCCACTTGGACCCACATGTAGCTGATTTAGATTTCGACGAGCGGTGGAGGCGACTTGGTAATTCTGCTGCCGACGCCGCCGCTCGTGCTGGAGCTCACATGCACCCGTCCTGGTCTGACAATGATGAGACGGAGCTCCAGCGGCAAAGTAAGGTGTCAAAACAAGTTTGTGATCTTGCGGCCACTCTGCTGCCGCTTTGGCCTAAGCTCGACCTCTCTGAGGTCGAGCTGATCCGCCCCCCTCGTCGTGACCCTCCTGAGGCTCCTCCCCCTCCTCCTGGTCACGAGTGGCAGAGATTGCGCGGATTTTTTCTTTGTCTTAATTGTAATAGAGTCCGCAGAGGGACGGCAGTGCCACCACCTGGAGAATGCTCCCAGGTGCATGGCCTCACCCCCACATCCCTGCGGAACCTCAATCATAGTTGCGTTTCTCTTGAGTGCAGTGACGAGGCACTCCTCACTGTTTGTCTTAAGTGTAAATGCTACTCGAGCCACGGACAAATTCGAGGGCTGTCCAAGAGCTGCGAGAGACCCACCCGTCACACCCTGGACAATTGGAAGCTACTTGCGAAGGGGAAGCATCCTAAGCGTCCAGGGGTTACAGTCGAGACGGGTTCCTGGTCTCTCCTTTAACTCATCCTCGTAGCCGTCCTTGTTAAAATCCTCCTCCTCCTCCTCCTCCTCCATCCCTCCCTCCTCCCCCCCCCCCTCCGCCCGCGCAGGTGTGCGGCCGGCCGCGCTGCGCGGCCGTGTGCCCGCCCTCCTGCGAGAAGCACACATGCCCCGAGTGCCAGATGGTCTGCAGCGAGCCGGAGCCGCGCCTTCTCCGCCCGCTTGGACGGTGCGCAATGGGGGTTCATAAATGGGGGGTGGCGAGGGTGGTCCGAAAAGGTACCCAAACGGTACCTAAACGAGCCCCCTGGGACTCCGGAGGGGCCCGACAGGGGCAGGAAAGGGGACCGTTTCTGACCCATCCATCTATGACCCCCCCATTAAGCCACGCCCAACCCGCCGCCGCCGCCGCCGCCGCCGCCGCCGCCGCCGCCGCCGCCGTCGTCGTCGTCGTCGTCGTCGTCGTCGTCGTCGTCGTCGTCGTCGTCGTCGTCGTCGTCGTCGTCGTCGTCGTCGTCGTCGTCCTCGCGGGAGTGGCGGGGGAGGGGGGGAGGAGGATGGAGCAGGGGGGACTTTCTAGCAAAGTTTTGTGGGCTTCGCCCGGGTGCGCGGCGGTTTCCCGGCCTCGGGGTGCGCTCCAGCAGCTGCACCTCGTCGAGGGCGTTCCGGGGGGGCTGGAATCGTCCCGAACTGCCGCCAGAGAGCCGAGTTTTGGCCCGAATGCCAAGAGGCATTGTTCGGGGAGACGGAGGAGAGGAAGGAGCAGGGGGAGGATAGGGATGGTGGGGAGGAGAAGTGAGGAAGGGGGGGACGGGGGGGGAAGAGGGGGAGGAGGTGGAGGAGCAGAGACAAGAAAACGAGGAAGGACGGGGAAGGCGGAAGGAACAGGGCGGGATGGAGGAGGACAAGAGGGGAGGAGTAGGAGGATGGACGGATGGACGGATGGTCGGTCGGACGGACGGACGGGCGAAGGCGACGATGAGAACGAGGTGCTGGTGATGAGGGCCAGGTGCCCCCAGGATGTGTCAGCGATGCTGCAGTGCGCCCTCCTGCCCCGAGCGCCCCGATCCGAAGGCCCTGCAGGCATTCCAGCACAAGCCGGGAAGCCGCCCCCCCTCCCCCCCTCGAGGAGGAGCGTCTCGTGGGCCTGCCTTGACAATCACCACCCACCAAACCACCCCAACCCAACCCGAAGGCCTCCATTCGCCCTCCATCTCCAGTGTGTGTGGGGGGGGGGGGGTCGGGGAACGTTGACAAAAACACATGTGGAACCCGAACCCCCCCCCCAACCCGAAGTTCGGGTCGAATTCGGGTCTTCGGGTTGGGCTGGGGTGGTCTGGTAGGTAGTCAGACAAGGAGCTGCCCCTCCCCCCCTCCTCCTCTTCCCTCCTCCTCCTCCTCCTCCTCCTTCTCCTCCTCCTCCTCCTCCTCCTCCTCCTCCCTCTCCTCCTCCTCCCTACCCCTCCTCCTCCTCCTCCTCCTCCTCCTCCTCCTCCTCCTCCTCCTCCTCCTCCTCCTCCTCCTCCTCCTCCTCCTCCTCCTCCTTCGGCGATGCCTCGGCCGGGCCTGGGGCCCCAGTGTGGGGGTCCTCCGACACCATCGGCAGGTGCGCGAGCCGTGTCCCGCGAGCGAGGGCCCCGCTCCGATCGCAGCCAGCTTGCGCTCCTCCGTGCGGCAGTCGCACCGGGGGCGGGCAGGGCCCCCACTTACCAGCCTGGAGCACATCCCTATGCCTACACCCTAGGCGATGCTTAAGAAAACCTAAGTTTTCGTCCAGAGTCTCGATTATTCTTAACTTTTCAATGTAAATCCCAAGATTTGAAGAGACATTCTGGGTTTTTACTCAAGTTCTGAGACTCTGAATTTCTTAACCCATGATTTCTTAAGCATTTCGCAGGGTGTATGCTGGGCACCTTCTCATCACGATGCCAATCTTAGGGATTCCCTTATATTTTTTGAGGGCGAATCCCTGTCAATCTTGGGGACAGGGATACGTTCGAGGCTGGTAGCCCACTCCGACGCGTCGACGCGTCCGTGGCCGTCCAATTTCCAGGCTTGCGCCCGCCAGGCTCGGGCCCGGGCTCTGTCCATCCCCGGTCGCACCACTTCACGTCTCGTCAGACTGCCCGAGGTCATCTGAAACGAACGCCGCGGTTTGAAGAGGAGCGGCCCAGCACACATGTAATCGCTAGATGATTGTAAATATCGGGTTAGCCTGTTGGTGGACGCTGCAAGCGAGAGACATATGCAACATTTGCACGCCTTCCATCCGCAAAGCTCTTAGCAATTTTACAGGCGAGCTGCCGTGCCGCGAACGTGAGCAGCGCATCTGAATCCGTGGCCGAGGACCGCTTTTTGATGACGTGTGTGTGCGCGGCGATTTTGCGATAGCAGCATTTTGACACCGAATCGTCGTCCGTCGTTGTGCCAGGCGGCTCTTCTCAGGCGAGCGTGCGCGGTGACGGGGCGATGCCCACGTGCAGAAGCACGGCCGCCCGAGGAGGGGGAGGGAGGAGATAAGGGGAGGGATAGGGAGGGAGGAGGGCACGGAGGGGGGAGGAGGGAGGAGGGGGGATAGGGGAGGGGGGGGATAGGGGAGGGAGGGAGGAGGAGGGAGGGAGGAGATAGGGGAGGGATGGGGAGGGGGGGGAGGAGGGAGGAGGGCACGGAGGAAGCGGGTGGGGATGGGGAGAGCAGGGTGGAGGCGAGGAGGTGCAGGGGGGGATGAGACGGAAGGAGGCATGCTGGAGGGAGGAGGGGAGACGGGAACGACTGGGGAGAAGGATGAGGAGGGGGGGACGAGGACGAGGAGGCAGAGAGAAGGTTCCAGCAACGTGGCGAAGTGTTGCGAGACGTATTCAAGCTATCGAAGACGCCTACGGCGAACCACCGCCGCCCCCTGCCTTTTTGGAAGCGCCTATGTGGCCGAACGTTGAGGCCAGACCTGCCAAGCCATCGGACCATGTGTTCCCCGAATCGGTTTGGAAAGCCTTCGGGGAACACGTGGGCATCTTGAAGGTCATCTTGGCCGTCTTGGAGGCCTCTTGGGCGATCTTTCGGCCATCTTTGGGGGCTCTTGGGCCGTCTCGGGGCCATCTTGGAGGCCTCTTGGGTGCTGTTGGGGCGATGTTGGGGACCTCTTGGGCCGTCTTGGGCCGTCGGAGAGCTGAAAAGAAGAATATGCCAAAATCCTTCAAAAACCTAAGGAACATCAATGATTTTAACCTATTCGGGCCTTCCTGGAGGGCGTCTTGGAGGGCTCTTGGGCCGTCTTGGAGGCCTTTTGCGGGCCTTTTGGGCAGTCTTAGACCATCTTGAGGCCATCTTGGGCCGTCTTGGGTGCATCTTGGAGCCATCTTACCCGTCTTGGAGGCCATCTTGGCCGTCTTGGAAGCATCTTGGAGGCCATCTTGGGCCATCTTGGCCGTCTTGGAGGCCATCTTGGTCGTCTTGGAGGCCTCTTGGGCCGTCTTGAGGCCCTCTTGGGGCCTTCTTGGGGGCCTCTTGGGCCGTCATGGGGCCATCTTGGAGGCCTCTTGGGTGCTGTTGGGGCGATGTTGGGGACCTCATGGGCCGTCTGGGGCCGTCGGAGAGCTGAAAAGAAGAACATGCCAAAATCCTTCAAAAACCTAAGGAAAATCAATGATTACCTAACATCGAAGACTGATAGGTTTCTAGTGGTCTAAAAAGAGAGCAGCACATTACTTCAACATTACTGCAACATTACTCCACAGGGGGGTCTGGGCAGCCGTTGGGGGCAGTTGGGGGGCAGTTGGGGGGCTGTTGGGGTTTGCCGGCGGGGATCGTTTTTCGCATACAGTCACACACTTCGTGCCCACTTCGTGCTCTTCGATTTCCCAGAACTCCATTCCCGGGCCACATTTTGGATGCCCGGAGCCAACTGTAGGCCACTTCGTGCTCTTCGATTTCCCAGAACTCCATTCCCGGGCCACATTTTGGATGCCCGGAGCCAACTGTAGGCCACTTCGTGCTCTTCGAGTTCCCAGAACTCCATTCCCGGGCCACATTTTGGATGCCCGGAGCCAACTGTAGGCCACTTCGTGGTCTTCGAGTTCCCAGAACTCCATTCCCGGGCCACATTTTGGATGCCCGGAGCCAACTGTAGGCCACTTCGTGCTCTTCGAGTTCCCAGAACTCCATTCCTGGGCATGATTTTGAATGCCCGGAGCCAACTGTAGGCCACTTCGTGTTCTTCGAGTTCCCAGAACTCCATTCCCGGGCCACATTTTGAATGCTGAGGCAGGCTGATGCTGCTGAGGCTGAGGCAGGCTGAGGCTGAGGCAGGCTGAGGCTGAGGCCGAGGCTGAAGGCAGACTGAGGCTGAGGCTGAAGCAGGCTGAGGCTGAGGCTGAGGCAGGCTGAGGCTGAGGCTGAGGCAGGCTGATGCTGAGGCAGGCTGAGGCTGAGGCTGAGGCTGATGCAGGCTGAGGCTGAGGCAGGCTGAGGCTGAGGCCAAGGCTCAAGGCAGACTGAGGCTTTGGCTGAAGCAGGCTGAGGCTGAGGCTGAGGCTGAGGCTGAGGCTGAGGCTGAGGCTGAGGCAGGCTGAGGCTGAGGCTGAGGCAGGCTGAGCTGAGGCAGGCTGAGGCTGAGGCTGAGGCTGATGCAGGCTGAGGCTGAGGCAGGCTGAGGCTGAGGCCGAGGCTGAAGGCAGACTGAGGCTGAGGCTGAAGCAGGCTGAGGCTGAGGCTGAGGCAGGCTGAGGCTGAGGCAGGCTGATGCTGATGCAGGCTGAGGCTGAGGCTGAGGCTGATGAGGCAGGCTGAGGCTGAGGCAGGCTGAGGCGGAGGCCGAGGCTGAAGGCAGACTGAGGCTGAGGCTGAAGCAGGCTGAGGCTGAGGCTGAGGCAGGCTGAGGCTGAGGCTGAGGCAGGCTGATGCTGAGGCAGGCTGAGGCTGAGGCTGAGGCTGATGCAGGCTGAGGCTGAGGCAGGCTGAGGCTGAGGCCGAGGCTGAAGGCAGACTGAGGCTGAGGCTGAAGCAGGCTGAGGCTGAGGCTGAGGCAGGCTGAGGCTGAGGCTGATGCAGGCTGAGGCTGAGGCAGGCTGAGGCTAAGGCTGAGGCTGATGCAGGCTGAGGCTGCGGCAGGCTGAGGCTGAGGCGGAGGCTGAAGGCAGACTGAGGCTGAGGCTGAAGCAGGCTGAGGCTGAGGCTGAGGCAGGCTGAGGCTGAGGCTGAGGCT